TAAGGAGCTTTACCCATCGTGCAGCAGGCAGCCATGTGGACATGTTTTATGCCAGTCCGGGAGAAGACAACTAGTTGGTGGTAGGAGTTGATCGCTGTGTTCTTGGACTGCTGAGGGTTTGCTGATGGCAACTAATCGGCAAGAGGGGTCTAGAGCCTACCCTCACATACCTCTGTTAGAAGACCTTGCTTATTAAGTCAGATATTACGCATTGGCACAAGTAGACTGCTGACTTCTGTGGGTTATCTAGATGGGATTTAGGGAAGTATCCACCAATCCCAGCCCCTCCACAGTAGCTAAATGGGTAGAAGATCTTGGGAATTGTCGAGTGATGCTTCTTGGCTCTCGAGTAGTCACCAGGAGCCCATCAGACACGGGCTTGCACCCTTCTGGAGTAATGGCCACCTGCTATGGACATGTCAATCCATTATCTAAACTTTCAGAGTGCTTTAAAACCACAGATCAACCTCCTCTTGTCAAAAAAACTGAGGCAGAAAGAGTCTAGCAGGTGAGTCACCAAGACCAGACCTGCATCCTTTACATAACAGCTCCCACTACCACTGGCCATAACTTCAGTTGCATGTTTCCAACCCCGCTTCAAGTCACACTTTCGTCATGAAGAGCCAGATGGAACCATAAAGTCTCCTCTGCCACTTCAGTAATAACTCATACCAGAACTGAAAGAACTGATCTGCTACACAAGAAAACAACACCCAGGCACTTTTGAATTAATTCCAGTATTGTATTTTGCAGCCAGATTTCTAGGAAATGTTGTGAATAATCCAAGTAATTCAGTGGGGCTCTGTTTTTATATTTCTTTGCTTTGTTTTCACAAAACGCTGCAGCACGTGGAATTGCAATTCTGTACCAGAACCCACAGAAATCAGGAGTGTTTATTTTTGTACAGGCCTCCTGACAGTTCTCAGCAATAAAAGCCTGCAAGAGACCCACAAGCCTTGGGCTCTCTGTAGGTAGCGGCAACGCATCTCCTGCTGGTAAAAGGAGCATCTCATCGAGGGAAACCCATTACAAAAGGATTTGTTTCCAAGAGATTTAGATTAATCTCCTAGTTAAGGAAACAATTCCAAGGCAGATAAAGACAAATTTGAAGAAGAAAATAACACACCCCACAGCACAACATACCAAACAGAACAACAAAAACAAGCAGAGAAAATATAGCCAAGCATCCCAAGCCAGACCGGGGCCTTGGGGACCTTCAACACAACTACAATTCATTGTGCCAGCAACGTCAATTAATAAGTCAGAGGAGTCCAAGCAGTGAGGGATTTTCTCTGGAAGACAAAAATCTATGCTGCAATCTCTCTTGAGCCAGCTTTAAAACAATGCAGCAATTCAGATATCCCCAACACCATGCTGGGACTCCTTCCTTTGGATTTTCCAAGAGGAACTAGAAAGCCTCTGGTTTTGCATCTTATCAGGGCAAGTTCTTGGGTCAGCTGAACAGCTCATCATACACTAGCAGAATTTAATCACTTGCAGCTAATACCAATGCCTTCAGAGCTAATCCACTTGCAGCAGGCACTGAATACTCCCCCCATCACCACCAAAGTGGGTGCAGGAGGCTGACAGCCAAGAGACAATGTGGGGCTTGATGAATAGTTATTCTGCACATTGATTGCCAAGCTACATTTCATCAGGACTCCAATTATCTTCAGGTCTGGATTGGGTCTACACAATCATCTCATTAGTCACTTAAATTTTCCAACTCCTTTGAAAACTCATTAGACAAATCAACCTTGCTGAAGATTCAAGTGAAAAGCACACGGGCTGCTCACGGGGCATGAAGGGGACATCAACTATTACTGGGCCAGGCCAGATTTTGTTCATTTGCATGTGCAACAGGCTTGTTCCAGACTCAGAAGTCTGAGTAGACCCCTGGGTTTTCACCAGCAAGACATGTCAGAGGGCAACTATTAAAACTGACACTATACATGGGTTGAATACAGAACATGGCCAACATCTGCCACCGTACCTGCTGCTGCCACACTCTCCAACCAGAAACTTCTTTTTTCCTTATTTTTCCCCCTTAACGTTGCTTTTACAGAGCAAGGTACTAAACAGATTATTTTTTCCCCAGTCATATTGCATGCATTTACCTTCTGCAATGCACTAAAGGCCATAAAACTGGCTTTCAGTCAAATTCTTCCTAGTGATAAGGGAAAAGCAGCATATGCTGGAAACTGGAACTTGCAGCTTAAGACAGGGGCTCCTTTGATTAACTTTCCAGATTTTTAGCCAGTTAAGAAGTTATCAAATAGGTTTTTACATAGTTGGGGCGTAATAATCCTCTGACCTTCCAGTATAGTCATATATTAACATTTCTCCACTGGAAAATCCTTCCTGGGCTTTCCTCAGCTCCTCAGTAATCAACAGAGCTACATATTATTAGATCCTTCAGTAAGTTTTTATGAACAGTAAATATCCAAGAGATTCGATATAAAGCACTGCTTTGGTGCTGCAGCCAAAGTGACCCTCACTGTGACAGCTGAAACTCAAACTGAAGTCTCAACTTTTAAGCTTTAACATTGCTGCAGCTGCTATTGAGAACACAAGGGTAAGAAAAAAAGAGTCAGCTGGCAAAGACAGACACAATCTCTGAACAGAGCCTCAGATATGGTCAGAAACAAAAACATCCTAATTACTAAGGATACAGAAGACCATATGTATATGCAAGATCTCAGCAGAAGATAAGGGAAAAGCTCAACTGTGCAAAGAGCAACAGCATCAAAAGACATTTCTCTACTGAGAAAAATCTAAGTGCTAAGGGAATCAAAGAGGTTTACTGTTTTTTCTTTGCTTTTCTCCAGCATACAGCTTAGGGGATGGATTTTTGTTTTAAAGGTGGGACAAGAGCATCTCTTGGTCCCCACAACCAACTGGCGGATCCAATCAAGTGGTGCCAGCAAACACCTAATGGTTCCATTTCAAAGCAGTTTTGAAACTATGGGAAAAGGTGACTTTCTTTCTCTGCTGTTTCCTCTAGCCCTGATTAAGCTTTTGGGTAAGTCTTTAACCACCTGAGCGCATGAACCTTCCGTACAGAAAGCACCAAAGCACTGCCTCGCAGAGGGATGTGAACACTCACACCAGCAACCCCCGAGATGTGCTGTCCATGAGAAAAACAAGCCCTGAGTGAAATCAGGCAGTAGAAGGTGACTCAGCACTCAACAGGAACTCAACTTTCAAAAAAGGTCAGTTTGTCATGAGAAACAAGACTGACAGCGGATTTGAGCATGAAATAACCAAGAAATACACTGTATTTTCAATGACAATTAATACAGCATTCAACACTGCATGCAGGCTGAACAGGAACTTGCAAGCAACCTTCCCTCCTTCCCCCAAACCATGCAAGAAGCAGGAAAGCAGCATACACAGTTTCATTAAATCCTTAATGGTAGCTCGAAGGTAGTATCTCCTTAAGACAACAGAGGAAGCTGAGTAATAACACAAAGAAGACAGAAATAGATGCTCACTGCCATGGCACCAAATGGACAAAGAAAATCATATCTCATAGGAGAGTTGTGCAGAACTACAAGCATGTTCTCTAAAAACATTCAGAGATCTGGGTTTGGATTTGTTCGAACAGTTTGAGGAAGACAAGACTGAGTCCTAGGAGGGGACATGCAGAGACCTTCCACATAAGATGCTACGACAAGCAGCTGTGCTTGTGTTCTGCGTGGCAGGAGGGCTTAGGATGAAGTAGGTGGCTTTGGAAGATAACCATCTTTGTCCTTTCTTTAAACACAGCAGCCTTTCTCCCCAGGCCCTCACACAAACAGAAGCTGGAGGCTTAGTCACCTCCCTAGTTCCCAAGCTGGTTGCTCTCTTATGATCCCAGTCCTCAAGAAAGCACCAACAACATCCTAAGGGGCCACAAGTAGGCCAGGGAAGGTAGGAAGAGGGCTACCCATGCCCCACAAGCCTGCAGAAAACCTCCCTGAGATCAGGCATTAATTTCTGCCCTTCTGCAACTCAATCCAGCCTTCAGAAAAGGCCTGTTACTAGAGATAAGAGGACTTGCTTCCAGTTTCATCCTTTTACTCCTAGAAACTGGCTCCATATAATGCTTTCAGAGAAGGCAGTGCCCAAGGAAGCACTGTCAACAGCGATGATGGATCTACTGCAGCTAATGTGGCAGACATTCAGCTTCCCCTTCCCAAAGGTTAACCTAAGTCTTGGACCCCTGGAACAAGAAGGATGAGCCTTGTGACATCTGCAAGCATCTAGAGGCCTAAGGAAGGCTTAGTATTCTTTGGAAGTCCATGAATACTCCAAGCACTGCACCTTTTCAAGGGCAAGAAGCCTGAAGAGAACATCCTGAAGAGTCTGCTCTTGAGTTGAACACTGAAGATGATCTCTTCCTAACAACCCTCACACATGCTATTTCTCCAAATCCAGTAAAGAAGTTGGGACTTCACTGCACTTCCAGTTTGGTTGTGTGGTACTTTGGCCCTTGATCAGTACGGTATCTCCAAGAACTCAGCCACATTTGTTGAGGCAGATGGATACAGGTTTCCGAAACACCAAAACTTAATCTTGCTTCAAAGAAAACAAATCATAGAGAGCACTTTGCACTAAAATATGCGTTTACCAGAGCCATCCGACATTTGCCTGTTGCTCTTGGCAGGATGTCTCCAAAGGGATCTGACACCTACATATGTTCCCCGCTCCAGAAAGAGAGACAAATACACCTGCCAGCCTGTATTACAGGAAAAACATAATGAAAGAACTTGAAAAACAAGGAGCCACCCAGAATAGTCACTGATGACAACATGAAGATGATTATTTACTGTTTTGAATATCTACAACATCTACAGGATTTAAAAATGCAGAGTCTGCTTCCAGTTCAAGGTTACACAACCTCCATGCAACACTGTCTTTGCTTGCTGCTTAAGCTAAATAGATGTTGTATCACCTCTTTCAAGTTCTCCCTGCAATAAGGTGATATACTATGCACAAACAAGACAAATAATACTTGCCACTTTCTTCAAAGAAGTATCCATTTCTTGACATTGCTGCTGGTGGAGACTCTGAAAAGACAGGAAAAAAAGAAAACATAAGAATCATCAAGATGCTGAATGTCTTCACCTTACATCTAAACTCACTGTAAGCCTGGATTACAGCAGAAAGCCAATCACAAAATACTGCAGGCACCAGGTTTTCCTGAATGTGGAAACTTTAACCTTCTGATTATTGACTTTAGCATTTACCAAAACATCCCTTGCAGTCATAGTCATTGCTTCAAAATAAGCTAAACAGTCTCAGGCATCCTGGGCTGGGACCACAACACAGCAAGACTAAAGATCAGGACAAGCTTGATCATCTTGGTGACATATCAAGCCCGAACAAATGCATCCAAAAATTACTAGAAGCTAAGCATCTACAAGGCTTTTATATGCCATAATGAAGTCTAGGTTGTAGGTTATGCTTCAGATAAAAAGAACCAGTTTAATTTAGAAAACACAACTCAATTTAGCTGGGAATGGGATTTCACATCCTATTTTGCTGCTCTCTAATCATTAGGATATCCCCAAACAGTGCTTGGCACTTGGAAGATAAGCACCAGAATGCTACAGCCTTCCTTGGCCCACTTCCTGAGCTAAGGTCCTGCAGCAAACACCATCTGCACCAATGGGGTCTCACGAGGAAGCCACAAGTGGGAAGTGACGCTGACCAAGAGCGAACCCACAAACACAGCAGCACCAGGACTGAATCCCCATGGAACACGCTTTATTTGCTGCTGAGTCATTTCTGCAAATAGCTGCTGGCAAAACGGGGTATTTATTTTGTGAAGAGATGATCCAGCAGCAGGGGAGCACCTGCTTTCAGGTGTGATCAGCCTGGTACCCAAACCCGGCCTGCCTGGTTTTAATACTAACAGTATTTGACAGTTCAGACTGCACAGGCTAAACCCACCAGCTTTCCTGTACAGGTGCATGCCCTGCTTTAATGGCGAGATAACAGAGCTCTTCATATCAAGCCTTGAGCAAGAGTCACCCAAGCAGTCCCTTCAAAATCTGCTACTACTAGATGCTGCCTCTTGACATGCTTCTTCCCAGCCAAAATGCAATCAGAAAGAGGAATAGATTTGCTCTGTCTTTCCCCACTTCATTAGGCTAATCAAACGTTACCTACGCAAGCCTCGGATGAATTTGGGCCAACAAGGAAGGAGGTTTTGCCTGCTTTATTGTTCTACAGATTAGGCTTCCTGCTTTTCGTTTGAGGTATGAGACTGTTTCCCCAAGACACTTTCTCTACCCCATAACTTTTGGCTTACAGGTTACACGGGTGTGTTCCCCCCACACACTTTTACAGTGCACCACATTTTCAAGCATCATAATTCATCCTGGTCCACCGGGAGCCTTTGTTTGTCAGGCGGATACAAGTCACACCACTGACGACAGCACCTTCCAGCCCTAACACTTGTCACAGCCCAGCGTGGCTCAGACCTTTCAGTGCAGACAGCATTTAACTGCACAGGCTCCTGGAGGGACACCCTGATGACCACTTAAACACCAACAAACAAACCACACAAACCCGAGGGCAATTCAAGTGTCTGGTCCAAGAGAGAAACACAATGTTCCAAGTTCATCCCAGAACAATGGGTTGGAGGAACAATGGCACGGTGGCCGAGGGGCACCCATTACAATTGTTTCCCTCCACCTGGAAGGGAAGATCCATCCAGGCTGATTAACGTGGTAATGATCAAAGGAAAGTTCTTTAAAGACAGACACTCTTATTGTGTAATGATTACATTTACGTATTTCAGAGAAACAAACCAAATATGCCTAAGCAGACAGATTACCCAAGGAAGTGACATTCCCACCAGGGTGGCATATCCATTTCTCATTCCCACTATGGCTTCTGAGGGAGCCTGAAGCAACACATTTATCCTTCACCAGGCAAAATGAGACACTCTTTTCTTTAACCAAGCACACTTATTTCTATGGGTTGATAGTGCTCAAGGAGCAGGAATTCAGGGCTGGTTGGTTGGTTTCTGCATTAGAAACACCTTCTAACTGCAGTATTGCCTGGGTTGACTTCACACCTTTATGGGAGACTCTAGTTTGGTTGCTGCTTGGACTAGGCATGAAAAGGACAAGGCTGGGGTATTGCAGCAGGCAGAGCCATTTCATTAGGTGGCACTCGTTGCTTTGAGTCACTAATGAGCAATAGTCCCCTAGGCAACATGCTCAGGCAATTATGTTGGAGGTGCTGTTTTTTCAGATGAGTCAGAAACCAGAGGTCTTAACCTTGTAATTAAAAGATGCAATGGCACGTTTGGGAAAAAGAGTCAGGCGTTCACCCTACTATGTCCTGGATAAAGTCCAGCCCTGGTAATTTGTCTTCTCCCTACATAATCCTGTCCCATTGCACCAACGGGATTCAGACTTCAAAACAGTCTTGTTGGAGCCTTTCAAGAAGTTGTTACAACCCCCACGGAAGGGGCTACGCACATGAACATCAGCAATGGTGTGTAACATGCCCAGGAGGTAAGAGGTGATGGGGTGTTTACACAAGTCCAGACACACACATGGAGCTATGGGAGTAGCTTAAAGGTTACCATGTTAGCAGAAGTGGTGGTAGGAAAGGTAAGTTGGGACCTACATCATCCACATCTCTGAGAATCTAGAGACAGTGGCATCCAGCTATTTAACTGAGCAGAATAAAAGAGACACTTGGAAAGTGTGATTAATCTTCCCTCCTGCTCTCCATATTTCCCCAATCAGCTTAGCACAAGCAAGCATAGCTTAAGTTTATGGGGTGCTAACTAAGGACAAGGCCAGCCGGACTGTGCTTAAGTGCATGCTCAGTAGCAGTCAGCAAGGCAAACATATCAGCAGGCTCCACGTGCCTCTCCTTTCACAAGGCTTATGGGATTTTAATATCCAAGGTCTTGGCTCCTTAGTCATGTTTTGCTGGAGACAGAAGCAATGGGTTCGAGCTGTGCAGAACCAACAGCAAGGCAGCATCCTCTTTTCTCTAGCAATAAAGTACATACCCACAGCCTAATGCACACACACAAACCCATGTTTTCTCTCCCCATCTCAACTCCACTCTTGCAATTAAAAGAGCTCAAGCAAGGGGCAGTTACAAAGTACTGCAATAATTGATGCAAGCATTCAGCTCAGGGAAGCCTGGGCAGGAATACAAGTCTCAAACACATAGGAGATCAACACCACGGTGCTCCAGGGCTTGCCTGAAGTTGCAGAAGCATTTCCATGAAGTATAAATCGTCCCCTGTACTACGTTTTGCAGGCTGAAGGAAGAGACTTACAACCTGGGGAGTGCTTTACTACCGCAGCATGGGGAGTTCCCCCTCTTCACACTGGCACACCACTTCCCTCAATCCACCAGTTCCTTTCCCCCTAGGCTTTCTTTCAGAGGTTTCATCACTTAAAAGAATCCGAGCAAAGCAATTTCAGCCAAACATAAGGTCAGGCTTCTAGAGACAAAACTGGAAGGCATTACCCCAAGAAGCTAAGATACACAGCACAGCAATTCACACCCATGCCTCTAGTATCTCTCTAGATCCATGTCTTCACTCTCCAGGCTCTGCTTTCTCATCCAACACCTACAAGGACAAGCAGACTTCCCAATTTCTCTCCCTCTCAAGGGGAAAAGATGTCATTTTCTGTTACCTGCCAAACCCCATGTAGCATAGCTCTTTTGCAATTTAAAGCAGTGCTCTTAATTTTTAAGAGTTCATTTATTCCAGCAAATAAGTTTCTACTCCCCCCCACCTTATTCCCTACAGGGGTACCTATTAGATGAGACTAAAGTGGACGGGCATTGAAAGTGTCACCACTTAGCTGCTTTTTCAAATGAAAGCTTCTGAGTAGTTTCTCATCCTTTTATGAGCACTGAATTCAAAGGTAGAAGAGCTGAAGCACTGAAGTGCTGCAAAGTGGAAGACAAAGCCTATTTCTCTAGACTCAAGAATACAGCTTAAGACTTCAGAAAGAAGCCACTACCCTTTGAAGCAATTGCAGTGACTCCAAGAGCCACCAAGAGGGAAGATACATGAAGTTTACTTCTTAGCTGGTAGGACTGTCACATTTGCTGTAGTTTAAGGTTCTTGGTCTTAGAACTGGGATGAATCAGATGATCTGCAGTGGGACACAGACAAGGAGTGGGCACACTTCCTGATTTCTTACATTCTTACCATTTTTACATTTACATTTAACAACAAAACAAGACAAAACCCCACCATACCATCCTCCATTATTAAATTCCTGTAGGAAATGTGTCTCAGATCTAATAACCTGGTTTAACTCTCTTGTTTCAAGGTTAGTAGCAAGTTCTCTTGAGCCTGGCAATATTAGTGGATTACAAATAAAACCACATTCTCTGGATGCTCCAGTAACTCAATTACAATGTTCTGCTGCTGGCATCCTCCAAGTAAACAGTCCTCTGCAGCACAAGCCTTGTATTGAAGCAAAACATAGCTCTGGAACAAGCTTTCTACAAGTGGCAGCACAGACTTTGGCTGTTATGACTTCCCTCCAGTAAATCTCTCCACGTTCTGGTATCCTGATATTTAATTGGAGTTCACTTTGAGACAAAACCATTTTTAAAGGAATTACTGGAAAGGCTCTTTTTCATTTACAAACCCTTTAATATTGGCTGCTCTTGGGTTGTCTCTGAACATTTAGTTACCCCATAAGTACTGATGAGGAAACATTAGGTACCTCCGTAATCTTTTACTCAGTGTGTGTTCTACTACCCTAATTTCCACTGCCTTCCTCAACATTGTTTTGCTGGAGCTTTGAGGACATTTCTGAAACTCATCAGCACATGCACTGTCTTGCCTTAAATTTGATAAAGCAAAACACTGAAGCCTCTGAGCAAGAAGCTAAACAAAAATCACTTGTTCAGCTGAAAGACTTCAGACTTTCCCAATTTCCTCCGAGGAGGAATTACCAGTTCTCTGTGTGACAGACTGAACTGCCCAGTTATCTGGGAAGAACTCTGCTTTCCAGAAGACTCTTAGAGCTTTAGCTTTGATGATT